CCGAAAGCAGAACGTGCCGTTCTGCTTAAAGACTCATAGTGACATTTCTGAAAGTGAAACGACCCGTTTTGCTTTCGGAACAGTCCGTTCTAGGCTCGTTTCACTTTCAGAAATGTCACTCTGAGTCTTTAAGCAGAACGGCCCGTTCTGCTTTCGGAACGGGCCGTTTCGCTTCCAACAGCTGCCCACGTTTCCCCACATGCACGAAAAAAAAAAATATATATATAAAACCAACTCAGAATTCGGTTCCCCGGGAACCGAATTCTGAGCTTGAACAGTGAATGGTTCTAACTTGGTAAATAAACCTGCACAGTTGTTAATTGGGTAATTTAAAAAAAAAAAATAATATATAGGTAAAAAATTCGATTTTGGGACACTCTTCGAAATTGGAAGGTATAAGTTCATTTTGACTGAAAAGAATCATCGGATTTCTGACAACTTGTTAAATATATGCGTGCAATGGCTATTAATTGGATCCTGCAGAGTTTAAAATTGAACTGTAGCTTGTGCAGTTAATGTTATAAATTATAAAAAGCAAAATCATGATTTATTTTAATTGAAAAGGAATAATTTGAAGGTTCCTTAAAGATTAATTAACACCACCTAATAGTTTCTCCTATATCAGATGGCGACAGGGTGGAGGGCTGTTTTAAAGTCTAACCACTCTTTCTTGAGTCTGCTGTTGAAACTGGTCTGAATTTGGAAAGAACTGGAAAGAAATTGTATTCTTGACTGAAGACAATGATTCTTGCAAGGAAAAATCTGGTCATAATAAAGAAGTTTCACTACTCAAATCCCAATCCAATGAAGTTGGAACATATGGAGCAGAGGGCTAGTGGAAGTTTCATCTATAAACAAATTAAAACCTACAACATTATTTTTCTCTGCTAACTTGATGGTGTTATATTGATAAAAAAATATTATTTGATAAAATGGTTTAACTCCTTTTGACTACATCGATCTTAATAGCCACAGTAATACTTCTGGTCACAACTTTGTGTTCAAGGTAAGATGGAATCCCAGTTCTTTATAAAGAAAGAAGTGCTCAATCACTTGAGGTAGCAAATTTTGGTGTGTCATATATTGATAATACTATTGTAGTTAAGTGACTAGGGCAGTCTAGAGATTGTCTTTCATACACAGAATGAATGGACTCTATGGAGGATTAACCAGCTGTTCTCTTCAATTTCGCTCCTTGCCTATCCAAAATGAGTTGTTGCCATAAATCCTTACATGGTAACTGTCTCAGAAGTTTAAAATTAAACAAGGGTTTCTGATTTTAATGCGGAAGCAGATGGTACAGTTGGAGAGTAGGGGATTTTTGAGATTGGAATCATGAGACTGCACAACTGATAATTATAATCTAACAAAAAAAATATTATTTTCACTGGTTAGGGTTGGATATAGGTACTCTCTATTTGTGATCAGTCATTAGTCAACACATCTTGGAGAATTGCATAGATTATGATGGGAGAAAGCATATAAATGATTGTGAATCTTTCATTTTTTTGATGAAGCGGTGAAAGACAAGATAAATGACAAGCCATGAGAGAAGATAACAAAGCCACTTAGAAGAAAAGTACTGAGAAAATTTGTAGTTCTTTTTTAGCATTATGAAAACTGTAGGTCAAATGAATATTCAAAAACAAAGAAAAATATTAAAGTGGCTTGAAAATTGAGATACAATTAAGTTAGGCTGGGCTAGATTTTGAGTTAGAAATACATCCAAACCAATTAAAAAATTTTGGTTGAGACAATTCCAAAAATAAAAAAGAAACAAAGTAACTCAAACCAAACCAATCAAGGTTTAGGGCAACTAGGATGTAGTTTATAATTTATTAAATAAACTCCATTTGAAAATGTTAAAAAAAAAAAGTTGTATATGGAGTCTAATTGATTTTTTTTTTCTTTTTGAGAAAAAAAAAAACAAGGAAGTTGAATTATTTTTTGAACACCCAAAGATAAGCTGTTGCACATTTGACCTAAATTTGAAGACTTCTTAATATGACTAAATCATCCTTGACTTTGACCTAAATAAGAAATTTAAAATTAATGTGTAAGAAATAATAAGAGTATAAAGTTTAGGATTTTCCAGAATCCCAGGTATATGAAAGTTTAATGCGAGAGAATTGAAATTATATTTGGTATTCATGAGTGTAGCATTAATATTCATGTAAATTGTGGAAGAGGTCATACATTATTGTATTTGGAATTTCGGGTTGAAAAAGAAGCCTAATTAAACTATAATCAGCTTAATATTCAATGTTCTTATCCTGATACAACTTACTCTTTTGTTAACTTTACTAGTCACATACCACACCAATTAAAACTTCTACCATAACTAAGAAAGCTCAAGAGTCAAAGAAAGTCGTGCATTTATTAAACCCCAGAATGGCAACCATACAACTACTGAGTCTAAAATACAAGTATTTTGAGGATATTATCAAACAAAACAAATCACTCCCACAATTACCATACAGTAATACTATATCCTCCTACAACATCCTCCCAATAATCTTCTTAACACTTTATAAAGAAAGTATTAAATGAAAACATAAAAGCATTTAACACTTAGGAAATATTGAAAATATTTAATACTTTCTTCATTTAATTAATATTAGAAGGATTATGAGAAAGATATTGTAAGAGGATTTAGAATTATTCTATTATTATCATGCATCAGCATACATGTAATTGATGATACAGTTAGGCTTACTGTTATTTTAATTTGCATAGCCAGGGACTAAATAATTTTCAACTGGACCTGATGACGCCCCTTGTTCTTGAATGAGGAAGTCCAATAAACAATTCGGTCTCCACATCTGAACTTAGAGAACTTTCTGCATAGTTTTGGGGTTGATTTTCAGTCTGATCCTTTGTTGTTGGCTGTGGATCGGTGCCATGCTGCATAGAATTTCCATTTTAAGTTTTCATTCTAAATGAATTAATAAGATTAGTAAAACAATTGTCCAAACAAGATATGCAAACTATGAGAGATTGCTTCAAGTTTGATGCCAAAAGTTGAAGTTCACGGTTTCAATCAAGGGTTTGTCTAGATAATTTTTTTTTTCCAAAAATACTTGTAAGAGAACGAAATGAGAAGTAAAAATGGAATTAACTAGCTTTTATATAAGTTAATTTATAAAAATTCTCATATATTAGTTTCACTAAAAAAATTATTTTTATTTATGTATATATTAATTTTAATTTGTGAAAAAATTATGTAATTTTTTTCCTTCTTACTTCTCCTCTAAAAGTACTTTTAAAGAAATTTATTCAAAAGAAATTTCAAGAACATATTTAATTTGATAAAATAATTCATATTTTCATTAATAACTACAAAAATGTGATCTTATTCTTTTTTTTTTCAAATATTTATTTGTTTTTATTTTTTCTTGTATAACTTTGAAAGTAAAAAGTAAAGTGACATTTTTATAATTATTGGTCAAAAAAGGCATTTTCACAAAATTTTAGTACGAGACTATATGTATGTATTCTCTGTAAGAAACAATCCTGCTTGAAATAACTAAGGATCACTATGGATAACAATTTTGTAAAATCAATCAAGCTTTAAAATTTCTACAAATCAATAATAGGGCACAAAATAAATTCCGAATAGCAGTAACTTCACCTTCTCAGAGAGCCTGGCCTTTTCCTCCAGTAGAGCTTTTTCCTGAATTGAATTACAAATACAGTCAAAATCTTTTTGATATAAATGCTTGCAGAGAATTTTTTTCAACGTTCGGAACTTTTGGAAAAGGAAATAAACCATGAAGCAGTTTTTTATTGGCATGTATCATAAACTAAGAATCACACATAAGTAGAAAATCACAAACTCTTAGAAAAAGGATGAAAGGATAGTAGAAATGTTTCTTAGAAAAACCTTTGACAATTGGTCACAACTACATAGGGAATAAAATCAAATCCAAATCACTTTGTTGAAGACACCTTACCTTTTCTTTTAGTTCTTCAATTTGTTCCATGAAAACCTGAGTCTGGAGAATAGAAAGTTGAGATTAAAATAACTTTGGAAATTTAATAGAAAATGATATATGTTTGTTAATGATTCTAACCTTTCTTGCTCGAACATTACTTATACTCCTCTGCAACTGTTGTTCTATTCGGTGCAGTTCCTCAATGGAGCAAGACCCCAAACCTTCTCCCAAGAATTTCCTGATGGAATCAAATTACAAATGCAACATGTTCTTTCATCGTGAGTGAGAGAAATAAAACATTGAGTGTAAACATTTATCAACATGAATAGAAATTCAAAATTTTTAACCGTTTTGAAGCTTCAAGAAAGTCAATTTTCTTCATCATGTTTGCTGCTTCTTGTTTCAAATGCTGCAACATATTAGGCAATTTATCAGGACTCAAGTTGAATTTGTGACTATGATGAGCAAATACAATAAGCAAGTAGAAATTAACGGAACTCCAATTGAGCAATTCCATTTTTCTCTCATTAACTTCTGAAATGTATTTATTTACATGGATAGATAAAGATGAAATTGTTATAAGTAATTGATGCCAAAAAGTGTAAACTATTTATTTGGCCACAATATGGCATTTAAAGATCAGCTTTAAGTCTGTTACCACTTGCATGAATCTTTGCAAAATTCATCTTAAAATGCAGGCATGAACGGCTAGAATTTATGTAATTAAATTGATTTTTGTGATGTGACTTTATCATTGTAAGTTGTAACTCATAACATCCAATTCCACTAAGACAGTCCAGAATATAATTAGGTCAAAAAGTTTTCTTAAAATTCGCTGCCTACCATATTCTCACAAAGAAGCAGTGGCAATGTTTCAAGCGTGAGAGAAAAGGGTTTCAGGTGTTGTGATTTCTGTAAGGGCAAGTATATACATTCGCAGAAACCCTTTTACCAACTAATCTACACGAGCCACTATATCCTTCTAACCATGTTTGAAAGGAAAAATGATCCATCAAATACAAACAATAAACACAACGCACTATTCTGTATCATTTGTGAGGACAAAAAAAATAAGAAACACCCTTAAAAATGGGCTCACTCAGCTTTAACTGGCACGATTCTTTTGCACTTAAAAATATATACTAGCTAAAACATTTGAAATATGTCATCAGAAATTGCATTCAGTGAAAGGAAAAAAAAAACACTATTCTGCTGCATAATCTAAGCAAAACAACTTATATCATCAATACGTTGCTGCCTAACAATTTTCCCTCGCACCAGAATTAGAAAGTTATTAGAAACTAAATCTGCATATTACACACACAGATAGAGAGATACACGTATATGCAGAGGGAGTCAAGGAAAGATTTGGGGGCAGTTTTGTAATTTTCTTCTAAAACAAAATGTTAAAAAAAAAAGAGAGAAAAAAAGACTCAAGACGATTCCTCTCATTTTCTCCTCCTTTGTGTTGCAACCTTTCCCCTCACTTTTTCTTTCTTCCTTATTTTTCTTCAACTTACACATCACCTTGTCGCACCTGTTGGTAATCAAGTGTAAGGTAAGGTGATATTCTTTGATTCATGCTTCCTTTATCCTAAATCCCATGAATTCTAAATCTTTTCTACCTCCAAAATAATTGGTGGGTAGGTATATTTTGGAAATTTGAGTACAAAAATAGAGATTTTTAGTAGTATGTGATAGCAAATGATAATGAGAAGAGAGGTCTTCAAGATTTTTCTGATGGGTTCATTAAAATTTCTAACCCTTATAATTTGGGGATTTTCATCCAACTCCATTTCGTATTTTTAATGTTTAGTGTTACTTATAGATACCATGATTGCTTCTCCTGCAGTTACTGGAAGCTGTTAAATTGATTCTCCATTTTTGTGAGTAGTACTTGGTGACCTTTTTGTTTAATAATTTCTTATACAGGAGAAAAAACTTTTAGAAATACGAATTTCTTTTACTCTGGAAGATCTTATTTTAGAGAGAATTATTTATTTACTAGTTCGTGAGCTATTTGATAATGATGTTAATTTCATCACTTGATTATATTTTTCATTGAACTTGGAGCTTCATAGACTTTTATCTATTTTCAATGAGCTGAATAATTTTACCTTGAAGGATTACGTTTAAGATAAACTATTGTTAGAAGTTATATGATTTCTTGGCTGAACTCTGTTAGAACTTACGATAGCTGGAGATTGTCTTTTGAACAACTTGGTTAAGACATTTTGTGGTTCCTAGATTCAACTTGATGGTTGTTTTTCCCATCTGAAGGTTATGTTTTAAAGAAAACCATGATGGTTCTATGTTAGAGTAATGTTTGCCATTAGCGAGTGACTTAACAGCGTATGTGCATAGAGTTTATTTATTAGCACTATTGGATGAAGGGAGACCCTTTGGCTTTCTTGTGAATTATTAATGTAGACCCTAATTATATGAATAGACCCTGGTGGAAGCACTGCCCCTGGTTTAAGAATTCCCACGGGGTGAATGGACCTTGTGATCCAACATAATATAATATAGGTTTACTTAGATAAATTTTTTCAAAAGCATTTCTTTGCAAAAAATATTAAGGAAAAGATACATAAATTTATTCATAAGCTAAAATTAGTTTATGCGTAAACTAATTTATAAAAGTTTTATCTTATTAGCTTCTGCAAAATTTTATTTTTAATTTATACATAAGTCAGTTTTAGTTTATAAAAAAACTTATTTTAATTTTTTCTCTTATTATTTTTTCTTAAGTGTTTATGGGAAAATTTATCCAAACCGATCCCATATCTTTAATGTTTATTCATGTCTTTAATTTTGAGATTACAACCAGCTTGGACTTACATAGCTTTTCACTTACAATCCAATATGATTTATTTTATGTTTGATAAATAAATCATAGTTTCAGATTATTTTTACTAATTATGAGCAAGATTTGATAAATAGAAGATTTTCATTTTATGATATGAATTGCTGTTAGTTTTTTCACAAGAGAAATAAAAACAGTAAGAGTACAAGAATGATACTAAGAAATTTTAAATGAAAAATGTTGGAGTTGAAGTGTGAAGTGAGTCCTATATTGATTAAAGTTGGACATGTTGAAATTTGTTAAATTATGATGCAAATTCTAGAAAAGAAAAAGAAAATTCTAGAAGAATAAGATAAGGTTTATAAAGAAAAAGAAAATTCTAGAAACATAAGATAAGATGTACAGGTCTCTAGAAAAAACTAAAAAAGTGTAGAGACTTTAAAAGTTTAGAAAATTCTAGATAATTCCACTATCATCTAGAGATGGAGCACCATGCCTATAAATAGGCAAATTGGGACTCATTGTAACAACAACAACAATTATCACTACTACTACTCTCTAAATACAAATAAGTTTTTATTATTCCACCAACTATTCTCTTGACAACTATCATATTCTAACAGTGGTACCAGAGCTATGTTCGGTCATCTACTAGACGTAGAAAAATCATCTAACTACTTCTAAAATTCCCTTCTATACTTATAAACATTTTTCTTTAATCTATGGCCTCCAATTTCGTTAATTTTTCATCTGTCCCTCTACCAGTTTTTACTGGTGAAAATTTTGATCTTTGGAAGCTCAAACTAAAGACATATTTTATCTCACAAAAATTGTGGGATATCGTTCTATCTGGTTATACAAAACCAGATAATACTAGCACTGTGTCTAAGGAGGAGTAGAAGAAGTTAGAAGATTGTGAACAAAAGGATGCTCAAGCACTGTTTGTTCTTCAACAAGCTGTGGGAGAAAGTATCGCTAGAAGGATCATGGATGTCGATACTGCAAAAAAGGCATGGGATATTTTGGAAGAAGAATTTGAAGGCAATGAATAGGTACGCTCCATCAAGCTACACTATCTAAGAAGAGAATTTGAGACCATTAAAATGAAGGAATCCGAGACCATTGAAGAATACTATGGAAGAAAAAAAGAAATAGTTAATAAAATGAAATTATATGGAAAAGAAATTAAAGAGAAGAGAGTGGTAGAAAAAATTCTTATCATTCTCACAGAAAAATATGATTCCATTGTAGCTTCCATAGAAACTTCCTCAGATCCATCTTCTCGATCGGTGAATAAATTAATTGGTCTCCTAGGAGCGCACGAAGCAAGATTAAATAGTCGTGTCGATAAAAATTCAGTTGAAAATGCATTTCAATCAAAACTTAAATTACAGTCTAAAAATAAAGAAGATGGAGGAAAGAAAAATGTTGGAGAATATTCTAGAAACAAAGATTCTAGAAATCTCTCTGGAAACAAAAAAGATAAATACCCTTTATGTGGTATTTGCAATAAGCCGGGACATGCAGAAAAAGAGTATTGGCATCGTGATAAGCCAATATGTCATTATTGCAATAAACTCGGTCATGTGGAGAAGTACTGTCGTAACAAAAATAAACATCAAGCAAATTTTGTCGAAGAGCATAATCAAGAGCAACGTCTGATCTATGCTAACAAAGAATCTTGTGACAACGGAGATGGAAGCTAGTACTTGGATAGTGGATGTAGCAATCACATGGCCAAGGACCAAAGCATCTTCAAAGACATTGATAACTCCGTCAAAGTCAAAGTTTGACTGGGAAACGACACCATGGTGGAGTCTCAAGGCAAAGGCACTCTCGTGGTGGAGACAAAGAAAGGTACGAGACTCATCAAGGACGTGTTACTAGTTCCCAATCTTAAAGAAAATCTTTTAAGCATTGGCCAAATGATGGAAAATGGGTATTCTCTTCACTTTAAAAGAAATATATGCAAAATTTATGATAGTAAAAGGTTAGAGATTGGCCAAGTAAAAATGGAGAAGAGAAATAGAAGTTTTCCTTTAAGCTTCAACCGTGGCACTAATATTGCCATGAAGGTAGAAGTTGATGACTCATGGCTTTGGCATCGGAGATTTGGCCATTTCAATATTCATGCCTTAAAGTTTCTACATCAGAAAGGTATGATGAGAGATTTACCCAGCCTAAAGGAAAATAATGAAGCTTGTGAAGGATGCCTTCTCGGAAAGCAACATAGATTACCATTCTCAAGCAGTCATGCATGGAGAGAAAATGAATTGTTGGACCTAATTCATACAGATGTTTGTCCACCGATGAGTCAAGCAGTAATGCATGGAGAGCCAATGACTTGTTGGAGCTAATTCATACAGATGTTTGTGGACCGATGAGGACACCATCACACACCAACAACAGGTATTTCATCCTCTTCATTGATGACTTTTCTAGAATGACGTGGGTCTATTTTCTAAAGACAAAGTCAGAAGTCTTTGGAATATTTAAGAAATTCAAGGCCCTTGTCGAAAAGCAAAGTAGAAAACAAATAAAAGTACTTAGAAGTGATCGTGGCAAAGAGTATACATCTCGCGAGTTTGACAAATTTTGCGAAGATGAAGGCATAGAGCGACAACTTACAATCGCATATACTCCACAACAAAATGGTGTGTCAGAGAGAAAGAATCGCACAGTCATGGAGATGGCGAGATCGATGTTGAAGGAGAAAGGACTACCAAATACATTCTAGGCTGAAGCAGTCTACACTGCAGTCTACCTACTCAACAGATGTCCTACTAAGGCAGTTCAGGACAAGACTCCAATAGAAGCTTGGAGTGGGAAGAAGTCATCAGCTAAGCACCTAAGGGTCTTTGGATCTATCTGCTACATTCATGTGCTAGATGAAAAAAGGCATAAGTTAGAAGACAAGACCGTACGAGGCATATTCTTGGGATACAGTTCACAGTCAAGAGGCTACCGAGTCTACAATCTTCAAACAAAGAAGCTAACAATTAGTAGAGATATTGAAGTAGCTGAAAATGCTACTTGGAACTAGGAAGAAAAACAAATTGAGAAGAAGACTGTATACATGCCCATCAATCAACCAACTACATCAAACCTGGAAGACAACAATCAAGACATTGTTATCTCTCCAGAATCTCCAAGAATAGTTTCACAACAAGAAGAATCATCACTTGAGTCTACTCTGAGACGAGTTAGATCACTAGTAGATATATATGAAACCTGCAACTTGGCCATACTTGAACCAGGAAGCTTTGAAGAGGCAGCAGACCAAGAAGTATAGGTCAAGGCTATGGAAGAAGTGATTAAAATGATTGAGAAGAATATTACATGGGAGCTCGTAGATTGCCCTCATGGAAAAGATATCATTGGAGTAAAATGGGTATATAAAACAAAGCTTAATCCTGATGGAACTATACAAAAACACAAAGCAAGATTGATCGCTAAAGGCTACTCACAACAGCCAGGAGTGGACTACAATGAGACATTTGCTCCAGTCGCACGCCTAGACATAATAAGAGCTTTAATAGCTCTTGCAGCACATAAAGGATGGAACATCTATCAACTGGATGTCAAGTCTGCATTCCTCAATGGCGTACTTGAAGAAGAGATCCATGTGGAGCAACCACCAGGATTCGTGATTAAAGGCCATGAAGGCAAAGTGTTGAGATTGAAGAAAGCTTTATATGACCTGAAGCAAGCTCCTTGAGCATGGCATAGCAAGATCGACCAGTACTTCACTGATCATGGATTCAGGAGGAGTAAGAGTGAGCCTACACTATACATCAAGACTCAAGGTCATCATACTCTCTTACTCTCTCTATCTGTAGATGATCTTATTTACACTGGAACCAATACAAAAATGATGATGGAGTTTAAAGAAGACACGATAAAGACCTTTGAGATGACAGATCTTGGCTTGATGAGTTACTTCCTCGGTATAGAGGTAAGTCAGAGAAGTGATGAAATATTCATCTCACAAAAGAAATATACAGAAGTTTTCTGAAGAAATTTAATATGTACGGGTGCAAACCTGTAAGTACACCGCTAGTGACGAATGAGAAACTACAA